CCAGCACCTGCCTCCAAGAGTTGCTGGGGAGATTAAGTGAGTTTACCATGTAAAGCCTGCAAGACACCCGGCCCAGCACAAGGGCCATGGTTGTGTGTTATTATTATGGCTCTTACTGCAATTTGAACTGCCAGGCGACCGACTACATCGGAACGGATCCCAGGCAGGACCAGGCATGAGGGGCATGGCAGGACCTCACACTGAGGAATGATTCAGCCCCCAGTGCTGTCCTGGGCGCCTGCCGTGTGCCTGGCACTGCCAACATGTGGCTTCTCTAAATCAGCAACGGTAATAGCTGAACGTAAAAGACAAACAACTCGGCGTTCCTTTCGGAAGCCAGTCTGGAAAAATGGAGCAGAGGTGTTTGTCCCAGAAATGCCACTTCTGGGAAGGAGGCCCAGGGAAAGAATCTGAGATGTGGAAGAACCACACCCAGACTCCCTGCCCAGAGGTGCTGGTGAGACCACCCGAGTCCCAGCAACCAGGCAGGGACAGTGGTATCCAGCCTGCCTCTCCCCCAGCGGCCAGGGAATAGGGCTGCAGGGGCCCGGCACCAGGGATCTGGGGAAAAGTGTGAGCTGGGCCTTCGCTCCTGTAGTTCCTCCACTGGGAGCCCCAGCCCCAGCCCCTATACTAGGTTCCAGGGGCTGAGGAGAGAACTAGGTTTTGGGCATGCGAATTAGGGGGACCAGAGGCAGGCTCAAAGGGGAGTGGTGCTGAATCTGAGGGCCAGGTCCCTCAGGGTCATTATTCTATCTCTTGTCAGTGGAAACAGGGAATTGGAGAACTGAACGGGGGACGAGGCTTGTCTGAGATCACACACAACAAATTGGCAATGGTTGGGCCGGAGAGGTGCCCCTCAGCAGGGGTGGGGATGCCACAGCTAAACGAACTCACCTGGGCTCCTATTCCAGAGGTCTAGCTGAGCAACAGGCCCTTCATCCTGCTCTCTCCTCTTGAATTGGCAGTTCTTATCCCCATTGTACAGATGAGGAAACGGAGGCTCTGAGATGGGCCGTCAGGGCTGTGCTGCCCTGGGGGAGTTCCCAGGATGCATACGGATCTTGGGGCCCCCTGGCTCTCCCTAGGTGCCTAGCATGTGGCTGCACAGTGAGGGTGAGGCAAGCTTCCCTCAGGGGAGGTGAGTGGGGGCTCAGAGTCCCATAGGCCCACGCATGCCCCAGCTAAGCTATATCCTTCTGCGTGGCACAGTGGCTGGCTTTCACTGTGGACGTGGCGTCAGACAAGCTGGGACCCTCTGTTCACACCATGGGTCTCAATTCCCGTGGGGCCCAAGTCCTGCTGGTCTGCAGATGTGTCCTTCTCGCACCCTCTCCAGCCCTCCTGACCCACCCTCAGCGACTGTCCCAGCCTCCTCCCTGTCCCTTGGCCTGCGCGCTTACCTTTCAGGCTGCTGTCCACTCAGCAACTAGATACTAGATCTTCATTGTGACAGCCAGACCTCATCAGCCCTGTTCATGATGCCCTCTAGGGGCTCCCCTGTCCCCTAAAGAGGTTCCTCCCTGGCCCATGACGCCCTGTGGAAGGGCACTGCAGCTTCTCCTCCGCCTGCAGCCCTGAGGCCAGAGGAGGAGGTGAAGGCACAGAGGGAGGCGCGTGGAGACCCCACACATGCGCGGAAGCTACATGGCAGACAATGGCCCCTGGAGGTGTGCAACAGGATGGCTCTGGGAAGGGGGCTGGCTGCCTGGGCAAAGAGGGGTTCTAGCAAGGGCCAGAGTCTGCGTCACGGTCACCTGTGGGGGCTCATCTGCCCCAGCCAGAGACAATGGGGCCAAGGCCTCTAAGAGTTGCTAATGATAGTCTTTAATGACCATGCCTGGAAAGAGATGACTTCACCCAGGACGCACCCTGATGAGAGGAGGCTACAGTCACAGGCAGGCGGCTCCTCCATGGCTATGAGACCTGCATGGGCTTGTCTAGTCAGAGGATGGCAACACTGTGTGTGTGTGTGTGTGTGTGTGTGTGTGTGTGTGTGTGTGTGTGT